TATGTAATTGTATGTGGTGAACGTCATGGGAGAAAAGGAGGCCATGTTGGAGGCCAGAAAAGCCATGCTGTAGTAAGAAGAGCAGATTGTACTCTAATCCTGGCTTTTCTACCACTGAGCTTGTTTTCCTCAGTGGTAAAATGAAAATTGGGGGCTTCGGTCAGCTCTAAAGTTGCCCCAGTGAGACCATATATTTAGGCATAAAATACTTGTAGATGGCTCGCTTTCATGAGGGAGCTGTCAGGCCACTATTTTGTGATAAATTGAGTTCGCAGAGCTGGCATTAGTCCAGGAGTTAAAGCAATGCCTGCCACAGACTGGCAAGGTACAGCCCTGGAGGTCTCCTAGCGTAGCTGCGTGAACCGTTTGGACTCATGAGCACTGCTTGGAAGCATGTGTGTCGTTCCCCCAGCTCCTCAGTGTAGATTACAAATACTCATAAAGGTCCTACACCCAAAGAACCATGTAAAATAAAAACATGTTCATTCATCGTGTTCTCTGGGTGGAAAGGACTGGGATACAGAAATAAGACTCCCAACATGGGGCTGGCGAGAGCTGACCTGGGTTTGATCCCCATCATCCCATATGGTCCCCCAAGGGCCACCAGGATTAATTCCTGAGTACAGAGCCAGGAATCCCTTAGCAAAACCACACTTCTCCCACCCCCCAAAAAAGACTATCCAACAGTCTTATCTCAGACTGTGTGAAAAATTAGAAGCTGCATACTCTGATCCACATTATGGGCTATCGTGGAGTAATTTTGGCGCTAACAGGCAACAGTTGAGGGCACCATAATAGATCATAGTGTGGGGAGGAAGCAGCTAAAATAGCAATAAATTTTTCTCTGCACTTGTGCTGAGAATACAGAAAAATTCAAAGTAAATCCTTGAACTGATTCTTAAAAAGGTTCAGATTAGGTCACTGATAAGAGGATGGCCTTGCAAGTAAGTAGAGGGAGAAGGCAATTCAGCATTGTAGAAAAGTGAGAATATGTCAGATTTGAGAAGTGATATGGTTAATTTGGCAGGGTTCCCCAGTGAAGGCCTTAAATGTCATGGTAAGAAATTGAGATTTTTATCATGTTTATGTTGTTGTTAAAAGTTTCTTGAAAAGTAGTGTGTATTTTGGAACCAATCCCGCACCCATTAGAGTAGTTACTATGTTTTTAATTAGAATCTTGTGATTAAGCTGTATATAGGGAGTACCTAGTGAGGATCTGAGTTCCAAAAGTCAGGATTCTCATCCATTGGAATGTAAATGCTAGCCTGGTATACCTGACTCAAGGTTAAAGTAATTGTAAGGATTCTGTTTGCCTCAGTCACCGTTTCTAAAGCACAAAGCAAGTAAGTTGTATTTTGGTTTTGGGACCACACCTGGCAGTGCTCAGGGCTTAATCCTGGCTCCGTGCACAAGATAACTCCTGGCTATGCCAGGGGGACCAAATGGGTGCCAGTGATGGGTGGAACCCAGGCCAACCGCGCACAAAGCAAACACCTTGACTGCTGTACTAATAACTGCAGCAAGAATTTGTGTCATGCCCTTGTATATCTATATGATCTCATTTGATGTTTCCAGCTACCTGTAAGGAAGTGTTTTCTTCCCTCTTTTTATGGATTAAGGAAACTGAGGGTTTGAGTCACAGCTATTAAGTGATAAAGCGTAGATTTAGACTTGGCCCTTTATAGCTATATAACCCTCAGATCTTCCCAGGGTTAATTCTGTTTTATTGCTTTCCTGGCTCTAAGATAGGAGGAGGAAAGACTCCTGTGCCACTGATCTGTTGTGTTCTACCCTTTTCCCAAAGGATGGCTTTAATTATTAAAGTCCCTCGATGATCCTGTTGGAGATGGCCCTTCTGCACTTACTGCGTTTCCCTGGTTTCTATTTAAGGACCTTTGAAGTTGAGTTTTGAAGAAGTAGGTGTTTGGAACAGAGCAGTGGTACAGCAAGTAAGGTGCTTGTCTTGGCACGCAGCCAACCTGGATTTGATCCCTGCATCCCATAAGGTCCCCCAGGCACTGCCAGGAGTAATTCCAGAGCATTGCGGGGTGTGGCCCAGTCCCCACCCCTCACCCCCAGAGTAGCTAGGTCTTTACTGAGTCTAAGAGGCTTGTTCACCTCATGCCTTAAGCTTTGACAATTTCTGTAGTTTAGATTTGAGAATGTGTTTTTCCTTTCAGTTCCAGTTACCCTACAAAGAATAGCATATCAGTAAAGCAGGTAAACACTCATTTTTATGAGTCAAGACTTTGATGTACTATTCAATCAGTTTAATAAATGGCTGAATAAATAGCAGAACTCCTATATTAAAAAAAGACTTTGATGGGCTTAGAAATTAACATGACAGATATATAAGATTAGAGAGGGAAGATTACATTTTGTGTATTGGTTTTGAAAAAAATCATGTTTTCATTTAGGTGGTTGAAATGAATGTCAGTCTTCCTATAAAGCGCTTTATTAGATCTGTCACATTGACACCAAAGATTTTGTTAGAAACTAGTTTCAAATTTTGTTTCTGGGACAGCAGAGCAAAATGTATGACCCAGAGCAATAGAATCAACATGTAGTCAGTTACCTCTTCAGTCACCCTTTCGTCAGTGCCTTCAGATTTTGTGCACTGCAACCTGAAGTGGTATAACTTGAAACCTGGAACTTTTCCTTTTTTCGTAATTTTCTTGATTTTACGCACTCAAGAAGAGAAGTACTTGATAGTTGGGCCCTTCAGTATTCACAGATGGCTTTTTGAAGCTTTCTGGTCAGCAGGTTTCATATTCCTTCAATCTATAACTGTTAATCAGTTTTGAGACTGATTGTTGCCTTTATTTGCTAAAATATATATTTATGTCTAGCATCGTGTATGAAGTATTCCAGAAACCAAAGATTTAAAATTTTATAATAAAACGATCTCAGTGTTCTTGGAATCTATGTATATAGAGCTCTGTGACTTTTATTTTAATCTTTCGGGGTTTGGGGCTGTACTGGATGGTGCTATATGACTAACTGCAGATAAACATAAATGGATATAGATTTTTTTTTTTTACTTCTACATTTGACGTAGGAAAAACATTTTTGTTTCAGAGTTTGTGTTATAAAAATGCTTGACACCCTGACTTAAGTCATGTCATTTTATTTAAAACTTTTTTCCTGGATATGAATTTGATTCATACAACAAATATGTATATTCCCCCCATTCCAAAGTAAGGTGATCTGAACTTTTTAACAGATACCGTCCTTACAAACAGATTATAAATGTTCTTACAATATTGAATTTCAGACATGTTGAGGAACTTCAAGTCTTACTGTGTTCTCTTATGTTTTACTACTTTCCTCTTGAGTCATTCTGTTTATTTTCAATCCAGCGTCTTCAAAAAGACCTGTGTGAATATCAAACTAGTTCCCATATGACCCTGGCTTAGCTTGGTGATAAAACCAAGTTGAATGTTCAGTTGTTTCAGTTGGCTTTAATTTGGCAGACCCGATGGCTCTAAGTGCAGTGGAAAAGGAGGACCTCAGCCTGTCAAATAGAATAGAACTGTTAACTAAACAGTAGGTGGCAACCTCTAATTCTTTCTTGATATCTGTAGGTCTAATCAGTGAGTACATTTGATTGTCTGAGACCAAGAGAAAGGTAGAGAAGAAAGGGTTAAAGGAATAGCCAGGAGTTGGAGTAGAGCCAGCTAAGAGAAGTACTCAGACTGAAGACCCCTAATTAATCAAGCAGCTGCTTTGGTTACACTCTGGCATCCCGTGCCTTCCGTGTCGAGCTTTGGATCACGTAAGAGGGGCTCGCTGGTTAAATTTTGAAATCCCACTGAAAAAATAATTCTTAAAATGTTAATAAAGTCATATAGTGCTTCTTACTCTACATTTTGAAATCTTGGAATTCTCTTAGTTGTTTTGTTCCATGATTGATTGCTCTTCCAGGGGAACTTGTTAGTGGGTTTCCTGTCAGTTTTTCTGCAAACTCTCGTAGATCCCTTGTTAGGATTTCAGAATTCTGCCAGGTTGTTTCTGAACCTCATCTTGGTGATAGAACAGTCACTGTCATCTATTGAGTGTTGCCTATTAGGAGAGAAGTTTTACATACATGCAGTCTCAATTTCTCGATCATTCCACAAAACTAACTTGGTATCGGCCTTTTAACTCCATGTTCCCCAAAGATAATGCCTGCTCCCCACCCTGGAGAGGGGTGCCAGAATGATCTAGGGCTGGGGGGGGTCCCTGTTTGTTTTTGGGTTTTTTTTAAAGGGGGGCAATGACTAGATAAATGCTGGAAATTGCTTTATCTGATATTTAACAGATAAAGAGAGCTATTGATTAACATCTAACTGCTGTGTTTAGTGTAAACTTAAGGGCCAAACTGCCATGTAAGAGGTCAGGCAAGTCAGTTTTGTCTCACTATCTCCTTACCTGTGAGATGGGCATAATAATAGCACCTGCCTCTTAGGGCTGTTGGAGAACTGAGTTGATAAATGCCAAGTACTCAGAGTGGTGTCTGGTGTTCAGAGCACTTACATTCTTAGCTTGCTGCCGTTCCTTTGCTACCTCCAGCATGAGTAAGTCAAGAATTTATGAAGTGCTGTGGCAGGGTTGGTCAGCGCGGGAACTCACATAAAATGCGGTACCCAAGAAGAGCTTTGTTAAACTGCAAAATGTATAGTTACAAAAGCATCTGATACTGAGCAGTGTTGATTAGGCCATGAACTGCTCTAATTCAAATGTAAATTAGCATACACACAGTTGGATGCTAGTTAGTATTTAATTTATCTGTTACGCCTTCCTTTTTGAACTGTGATCCTCAGTTGTGGGGTCTGCTGGACTTGGCTTGGTTTTAAATTTGCAGAATGTTTTTAATTTTTAAGCAAGCTTAAGTGTTGTTCTGTTTTTTGTTAAGCGGTATCACTGTACTAGAAATCTAAAATCTTCCATCTTATTTGAAAAGTAGTGATTGTACTGAATTTTCTCAAATCTCATTTCAATTTGATTCTTGGATCTCACAGGAATCCTTCAACTGCTTTCTACCAAGCGTTCCATTTGAACACGTTTCAGGAATCAAAGAACCTCTGGGATAGGTATGAATACTTACGTACAAAATGCATACATGCAAAAGTGTATGCATGAATTGCTTTGCACTGTACTGGTTTCTCATCATTAAAACTAATCTTTATTATTTTAGGTGGGGGGATCTGGGGGAGTCACTTGGGATCTAGTGTGGGACAAAGCAGCAAAATAAACCAAAAGGATAATCTATTTAAAAAAAAAATACTTATTGTATTTTAAGTATATTTAACTTTTGAAGGATTTACGTATTGAATTTCACAATATGAACTATACACTTATCTGTGTGTATTTTAATGTAAAAATACATTTTATAAAATTATGCTTAACTCTTAAATTTTGTTCCGTTTTTAATGAGTTCTCTGTAAGAAGCCTTTAGTGACTCAAAGCAAAATTTGGTACAAAGAAATTGGAACAGGGACTGGACCAATGTATCAAAGTAGTCACTGTTGAATTCTTGGTGAGACATTTAACATCGCATTAATCTACATTCTTGTTTCATAATCCCTAAAATTATTTTCTCGCAGAAATCTTACAGGTTTTTAGATTTTTTTTAATATGGAAGTTTTGAGTTCGTTAATAGCAAAAGATACTTTGGTTTATATTACTGCTTAGTACACAATTCTAAGTAGTGTATGCTCTTTGAATTATTTTGCTGAATATTTATTAGCATTTCATCATTCTGTGTCTAATTAATAGAAGTTGAGTGCAAGCAGTGTTTTTAAAATTCACACAAAGCTTTGTTAGAATCTTTTAGCTCTGCCTGGCAATGCATCTGTATCTTCTGGCATAATTTGAATAACACTCCTGGCCTCACCTCCGCCTCTTCCCTTAGGAAGTATTGCTAAGTGCCTGTACGTGTCACATGAAGACATGGTCTCCCTTGCCTAGACGTGGTTACAGTTCTTAGGCACGATTTGCTGTGTGTGTCATTCTTACAAAGTTTTTCTAACACAAAGACCTTTTTGGTGATGTGTTCCCTACTAAAAATGTGTTAAAATAATTACTGGTAGGTTTTCAGCTTTGTAGTACCATGTTTAATAAAATCAGCTTTTCAGTTGCACTGCTACGGAAAGATTAGAGACATAAAGATAATGGTGACATGAACAATCATGAAGTTTAGTCATTCAAATGACTTATAAAAGAGAGCCAGGGTGAGGGCTGTGGGTTGTACTTTTAAACTTTTCCCTTAGAATAAGAAAATCTCTATAAATAATTAGAATCATTTTCAGGCATATGGCAATTTTGGTTAGTTGCCATAAGAGTATGAGTGTTATTTTCATCAGTGTTGAAAAGTTTAAGACTGTTTTCACTAATTTGGATCTAATATAAGAAGGGATTTTGTTGTTGTTGCATTAAAAACAACCATAGAAATTGTCCGCTCATCGTTTATTGTGACAGCTAAATACTTCATATCTGTTTTCTTTTTTAGATACCAGAAACATTTAAGGTATCAGAAATGAGGCAAGTTGCTGTATCTGTAGTTTCTCATGGGTTGAAAATATTTTCACTTCTCCTTGGAGCCTGTTGTCCAGAGACAAAGAAGCTTAATGACTACTTGTCTGTAATGTGTTAATGCCAAAATAGAATCAGAGTTTGTTGTCTGGGGCAGCCATTCCTCCCTGTAAGTCGGCCTGTTGAGACCCAGGTGGTGAGGCCAGCCCAGCAGAAACTGACTAAATTAACTGACTTGTTTCAACTTGCAACTAGCACATTAAACTTTCCATTGAGAAAATCAGTAATGGCTCGCTTTGTTAGTTCTGTCTTCTTCTGGCAAACTTCTACAAACACTTTAATGTGTATATTAGCCTAAATTATTTTGGAAACAGGTTGAAGATTTTTTTGTGTTGAGCTTTTCTTGACGTTGGTTGTGTTGGATCACACCAAATTCTTCATTTTGATTCCGCAAACTAGGGACATGGGGGCGGGCAGCTGTTGTTTTACTCACTTGGCAAATATGTGGTTTACAATACTGATTCTGTTACATCACTGAGACACTTAAGGCACTATAAAGTCCTCATATTACCTATTTGCCTTCAGGTAGAAATTTGTCAGTGCTCGTATAGGTCATATTTTAGGCCCTGTTTAAGAAATCTTGGAAATCATTTCCAGTTAGGGGCAGCTTTTAGAAAATCCTATCCCTGTTTTCATTAAACCTGCCCTTTATATCTGAAAATCCAACTTTTCCTTATTGAAAAATGAGACCCTTTTCCTGGGACTCTTTTGGCGACAGCTTTTAATCATAATACAAGTAATTGATACACCTTTCATGCATTGACGGGATTCCATCGAGACCCCTTTATTTCTTCTCTGTTGAAAGAAATGGCCAGCCAGGGCCTGGTTGCAAGGGCAGTGCTGGGTTTGGGCCATTGGCTCTGGCTGCACTCCTGCCTCATCCCCACAGAGCATGGCCCCCACAGCATCCAGAATGAACTAGAATTAGTCAACGGAGCGGCTGTTCGCCGGTGTGCCTGTGTGCATATTTCCATCCTTTTCTCCTGGCCCTAGTAGTATTGTACTGAAGTTGAGACCATTGTCCAGCTTTTCTTTCTCTTTTCCCAGTCTCCCCTTTAGTCACCTGTAGAATCCTCAGAATGTTTCCGTTAAAACGATTGCCATATGAAACAGTAGACACTGACAGTTTAGAAATAAAATCAGGGCTGGAGCAATGTGCAGCGGGTAGGGTGTTTGCCTTGTATGTGGCTGACCCAGGTTCAATTCCTGGCATCCCGTGTGGTCCCCTTGAGCACTGCCAGGAGTGGTTGCTGAGCACCGCCAGGTGTGACCCCCCCAAAAAAAAATTTAAAACAAAAATACTGAGTTTCCTTTCTTTAGAAGTGCAAATTAAGTTGTTTATTTTGACTATGAAAATTGGGTAGTGTAGCTTCCATGGTTAGCTTTCTGGAGATTGTTACTGTCCAGAAGTCAGTTTAGAATGGCTTATTAGCTCTTTGGCATTTCCAGTTTGAAGCCTCTCTTCTGATCACTGGAGCGTAGACTCTCATTGGGAACCTTTTGTCTATGGAAGCCAGGTCCAAAAAGTAAAGGAGTACTAGAGAGAAGAAACTACCTCAGGCACACCAAAATAGAAAACAGATGACTTGAAAGTATTTAGCATTAATGATAACCACTTAGAGAATAACCCACTTGGTGACAAAAATACCCAGCTGAGAGGACCAGTTGCTAGGTGCAGCATCCCACAAGTTGGCCTTGGTCATTGTTTCTGTGTTAAAGAGAAATGAGGAAGAAAAGCCGTGCACTTCAGTTATTGACAGGAAATGCTTCTCCTGCTGTCCTTGTGGTATTTCTCGTACTGATTTTTGTATTATTTTGTGTTATTTCAGTTAGAGCCACGTTTTCCTGATTTTTTTAAAAATTATATCTAGTTTATAAGCTATTGGGTTTAAAAAATTTTGTTTAAATCACCTCAGTATTTTGTATTAGAAAGTACTTATTGTTCCCTGTGACTACTCAGAAGCTTTTATTTTTGAGGTTATGAATAAATCAGTACTAAGCGACATACGCCATGGGTCCCATATAAGACTGTTTACTTATTTTCCAAGAAACTTGCATTTATCTATTTGATTCTATATAATTATAGATCTGAAATACATGTGTTTTTCTTTTGGGGTCACACTTGCAGTACTCAGGACTTACTCCTGGCTCTGTGCTCAGGGTTAGGGATCACTTGGAGCGAACTGCATGGTTTTTTTGGGGGGGGTCACACCTGGCGATGCAAGGGGTTACTCCTGGCTCTGCACTCAGGAGTTACTCCTGGCGGTGCTCAGGGGACCATATGGGATGCTGGGAATTGAACCCGGGTCGGCCGCGTGCAATGCAAACGCCCTACCTGCTGTGCTACCTCTCCAGCCCCATGAACTGCATGATTTTAAAGATGACTGTGGTGTGGATTACTTGTTGATGCTTGTCATTGGTTGAGTACTCTCTAAATGTATTTTGAGTACCTTGCACCACCCTCGTATTTTCCCTAATACCTAGTATTCCTATACTTCATAACCCAATTGCATTTTACCCTCCTTCGGGTAGGACAACTACGAGAACAGTGTTTTCTCAACCTTTTTCTAATCATGGCCCTTCCAACCGGGTTTCCTTCCCCAGCCCTCCTAGAATATTCTGGGACAAACCAGAAGACCATAAGCCCCCATATGAGAAATGCTCTACTAGAGGCTATCTAGGTTGCTAAAAATTAGAGAACACGTTCTCAGTGACCATTCAGGACTAGATCACAAGGTTTCAGTGAAAATCCAGGGACATGCTTATAAAACGTTAAGATCGTATTAAAGCAGGAACTCTTTATCTACTGCTGAAATTGAAAGGTTGGAAAACTCACTCATTCAGGGAGGGGGGAGACTTTCATTGAGTAAATGCAAGGAAAAGAACCTCAGTGTGTTCATTGGTTGGCACAGAAGCTAATGTAAATTTAGGTAATGTTTATCGAGCTAGAATAAATAGGAAAAGATAGCGACAACCCTATTGTACTACTTCATGTCTCTCACATCATTATTCTAAATAAATACTAACTAGAACATTTTTATGATCTTCAGATACCCATTGACCTTCCTTTCTAAAAATGGATTGTCCCTCCTGGAAAACAGTCCTGCCAATACTAAAGACGGTAAAACTGATGAGGGGTGTTGACTTTGAGTTTAAAACCAGTTGCTGGGGCCGGAGCAGAGTAGAGGATGTGGGGCACGTGCCATGCAACCAGCCCCATTTCGTTCCCTAGTTGGCAGTACCACAGGCACCATAGGGAAACCCCTTGCCCAATGCCACCGCCATAGTGCCCTTGTATTAAATCCCCAGCCCAGTTGGCCAGAAATGTTTGAGTGACACCAAAACCCCTTACCCAACTCCGCCTCTTCAATCCCTTCACCCTGAAACAATGTCTTTGAAAATTCCTACTCTATTGGAGAATAGTCGTATCTTAAGGGGCAAGTTAGTGGTGATCCCAAATAGAGAAACCAGTAAGATTGGCCTTAATATGGAAAGGTAT